CTTTGGGAAGCCTGTTCCAGGCTCTGGCCACCCTTACAGTGAAGTAGTTCTTCCTAATATCTAACTTAAACCTATCCTCCCTCAGCTTGTGGCCATTGTTCCTAGTGACTCCAAGGGGGGCCCTGATGAACAGACTTTCCCCGAGTCCCTGCTGGTGGCCTCTGATAAAGTTGTAGGCACCCACAAGATCCCCCCTCAGTCTCCTCTTGTGGAGACTGAAGAGATTCAGGTCCCTCAGCCTCTTCTCATATGGTCGGGGGCCATGGAGGCCCCCGACCATACGAGTGGCCCTCCTCTGGACCCTCTTTGAAAGGATGTGGCATATTCTATCTCCATCTTGGGTAGGACAAGCTCTGCTGACCTATGTGGAGGGGAAAGCAGATCAGAATGATGGGTCCCTCACCCTTTTGGACTCCAGCATCACAGTGCACATACCTTGGTCTCCCAGGAGCACAAGAACTGTGATTATATCTGCAAGCCTTTAATCCCACCTTTCAAGGGTCTGTAGAGTTGGTCTCAATCCTAGCCTTAGACATCCTTCCTGGGTCTTAGAGGAATGAGAAGGCTGCTGAGATGTAGTGCTCTCCAAACCAAACTAAACCAAACCAAAAAATCCTCATTAAAATATGAAAAGAGATTGCCACTTTAAGGGCTGGAGCAGGCAGCAAGCAGCCAGGTGCTTGATGGCAGTGGCCATTTTGAGACCCAGGATATATCTATATATAGGGTGAACCAGCAGTTTGCTGCTGGCTGCAGTGAGAGAGACATCAGCTGGCTGAGCTGAGGTTCACAAAATCATGGAGATAAGGGCTGGTGCTATGGGGATGGAGGAGGCCCCAGGTCCTGGGCATGACCAGAAAGTGCACCCTACCAGGGTAGGGAGGCCTGGTGGGACTGCAAGTGGCACAGCAGCTCCAGGAAATGCCAGTGCCATGAACCTCCCTGGTGAAAGGTGGGTAGGGGGTGCCTGAAAACATCCATCCCCCACACAGTCCTGGCTGGAGAGAGCTCAGAGTAGAGAGAACAGTGAGAGGGCTGAGGCTCATTTGATACAGCAGAGTTGTGAGGATTAAAAGAAGGCAAGGCACCTGAACTGGGGCCAGGACCCAAGGGGGGCAAAAGGGCCAGGGGCCCACAAGAGAGGAATGCCCAGAGCAAGAGGCTCGGGATTTCGACTGGCCTGAAAGGCAAAGCCAGGGCCTAGGGAGGCCAAAGGTTCCGGAGAGAGGACCACAGTCATAGAGGGGGAAGGTTACTGGTGAACTTAGCTGCCTGGGATGCTATCTGCGAGGCATGGGCCCCAGTGTAAGGGAAGGTTTGGAGCTGGGGAAATCACCCCTAGTCATTGGGGTCTTAAATGGGCATCCTCCCTTTTGAATAACATCATAATCTTTCATCATCAAGGTATGGCAGAAGAGAGAGAGAGACAGGCCAGAGACAGGTGGGCGGGCCAACATCAAACTGGCCCAGGGAAGGCCCCCTATTACAGGCTATCTACCCAGCTTGCAGGAGCTTCCTGTGAGGTGCAGGCCTTTGAGCAGAAGAAGGATTGTAGGAAGACTCCTGGACTCCAGCAGCAGTTCACCTGCATCAGTGATTGACCTTGCAAGGCCATCTCTTGCATATGGAAAAAGTAGGAGTGGGCAGGAGTTACAGTAGGCTAGCAGTAGCTTATCAACAGAGGTATCTTCTGATTTTTTTAAATTTTTTTTTGTCCTGCTTCCAGAACAAGCAGTGCAGGAGACAGGAGACACAGATGTACATATGCGGAGAAGACAGCACCCCACCATTCCCAGGAGGCAACATCAGGGCCAATGGTAAAGACGATTCCTCCTGGGCACACTTTGGGCTGTAGTGATCTGTGGCTCTTCCATATGCTTTTTCATGCCCATTTGTACTTGCCATTCCTGCTGAGCTCATCCATTTGTTTCTCTGTTACTGAAGGAAAGTAGATAAATCTTTTTAAAAATTGACTGCAAGGAAGCTTGCAGCAGCTTAGTGCTGGTATGGCATGGGGGAGCTTACAGTAGGTGGCAGTGTCAGGTGCAGAAGTAGGGGACAGAGGAAATAAGTTGGAAGGGCAGTGGCATGAAAGTTGGACGGATGTTGAGTAGAGCATGCAGTCTGCCATAATTAAAGCATCTGCTCTATGTATGTGGCACATAATGTAGTCTCTTTACAAGCAGGGAGCACACACATGGTCATATGTGGCTCCCAATGGGAGCTCTCCCTCCTCCAAACAGGTGACAGGTACTTGCCGGTATCTCAGCTACTATAAAAAAATTGAGATTGAGGAAACAATCATTTTCTCCCTAATACAGGACAGAAGAGAAAGTTAATCTTCAGTGCTGCGGTTGGTTGATATTTCAGCAAAACATTACTTGGCTTTGATCATTCTGTCTGCCTATAGGCTTTTCTTTAAAAATCAGGCTCTCATTTCTCAGCTGAGGTACAAAGGGACAGATTCTACTTTTAGGAGCACCAGTGTGAACCTTGTCCCTGAAGTGAGTCAGGATTTACAGCTGGTTAGCTGAGTTCTGAGTCTACTCTAGCACAGTCGCTGTTACGTCTAGCATACATGTGCTGTGTCAGATTCTGTATGATATTCTGTATTACATTATACATCTCATACTATAATGAGAGACAGGGAGACTATACTTTTAAGGTGAATTGCAAAGAGAACAGATTCATTGCAAATCAAACAAAGGGAGCAGTGCCTACCATGTCGGGAGCACTACTGAAACCTAGAAATGCTGTAGAACCCAAGCTGATTAGTGAGGCCACCTGATCTGCAACTTTCCCAGCCTTTAAGTAATGGGAAATACTGTCCTAAAATTCAACAGGCAAATGTCTCTGTTAAATCCTGAGTTGCACCTTTCCAAACCTTATCCTATTGTCATGTCACTGTCTTTGAAGATTTCCAGCCAAATCAGAGAAATTAAAGATCTGATATGTGGAATGGCAAGAAAATCATTGGAGAAGCAGGGGCTAAAGGGTAGGGGGAAAACACAAAGAAACTTTCAGGCCATTTGTTTATATACAATAAGTGGGAGGAGTTATGCTTCACCTCTTATGCATATACATTCTAAGAACGTTTATAGCATTTCATGATTGTGAGAGCTTGATTTGTGCATGTGCACATGTGCGCTCTGGTGTGTCTTACATAGAATACTGTATATGTACATTGTACATGTATAGGTCCAGTATTCTATGTAAGACGTGCATGCATGTTGGAGCAGACTTGATTAACATACGTGTATGACTATGGCCAGTTAAACAGGACTGTAATGTTGATGGAGTCATGTGCTACTGTTTTCAGCCGTTTAGACATCATCTTGTTGCTCATAGTATCACAAATGGTTTATAATATGGTTTGGCTTGGTTCATGCTGGCCAGTCAAGCTGTAGTTAATCCTGTCTAGCTGGAGTCCTGTTTAAATGGTGCACTGAAATCGTTCAGCAAAGTCTATTAAAGAATTAGATTTAAGGGTTCTCTAGCTCCTTCCATCCAAACATAACAAAGTTCAATACAAATACTAACAAATTAAGCCCCCTGTTCCCATGTGAAGCTGGGGGCTGGAGGAAATTCCCCATTTAGCACTTAAGGAAACTAAGGCCTTTACAACTGAAGGGGCTGAATGGGCTTCTATTAAATCAGGGGTGGGCAATTATTTTGGGTGGAGGGCCGCTTACTGAGTTTTGGCAAGCCATCAAGGGCCACATGACAGACAGCCTGGGGCAGATTAATATTAATTTTCTAAAATTTTTAGGGGCCTGGATAGAGTGGCTTGGCAGGCCGCATCCAGCCCACGGGCCACATTTTGCCCACCCCTGTACTAAATCATCCTATGATTTCGTATGTAGAATATAGGGCCCTGCAATTATCTCCCTGGAGCTTCTCCATTCTCAATGGGAAACTGGCTGCTGGGGGAAGTCAGCTGGAACTGGCCTTTAGGAAGGAAGTCAGCTCTGTCTCCAGGGCCACCAGCACCAAGTGATCTCAATAGCTGAAGTAATCCTCTTGAAACCTATAAAATACCTCCTGGTTTATGATGGCAGACTACCCCTGGAGTTAAATAACATAGATTCATAGATTCATAGATTTAGGGTCGGAAGGGACCTAGTAGATCTTCTAGCCCGGTTAAATAACCACAGAGTCAGAAAAGGAGGGAGGACTGCTGATCATGGTACATGGGCATGGAGCCTTGATTAATAACATCAACTCACACTGATCATGTCACTGGAAAGGCTTTGCCAAGTGAGCCTTTCTCCCAAAATGCCATTCACTCAGGAAATGATATATTTACCTACACAATGATGGGCTCTACATTAGCTGTTACCACACAGGAAAGACATCTGAGAGTCATTGTGGACAGTTCACTAAAAATATCAGCTCAGTTTTCAGCAGCTCTCAAAAAGATAAATAAAATGTTAGGCATTACTAAGAAAGGAATTGTAAAGAAAACTGAAAGTGTCATTATAGATTTCATAGATTTCATGTCCCTTTATAAATCCAGGGTGCATCTGCTCTTTGAATACTGTGCCCAGTTTTGGTCCCCACACCTCAAAAAGGATGTAGAAGAACTAGAGAGGGACAACAAGGATGATTAGTGGTATGGGGGGTGGGGAGGCTTCCATGTGAGAAGAGACTGAAGAAGCTAGGCCTATTGGGCACTTTTACATGTGCAGTGGGGGAGGGGCGCATTTTAATTAGTGGCTCTGAGAGCCGCACTAATTAAAGCGTTGTATCATCTTGTGTATCAGCGTCCCTGTGCTTCAAAATGGTGGTGGGAGTTCTTGAACTTGCCTCCACTGCCATTTTGAAGTGCAGGGATGCTGATACATCAGACACACAAGGCTCAAGGTAATTACCACACTCCAGCAGACTCTAATCATGTCTGCTCTGATGCACTGTAATTACAGGGGTTTACAAAATACTAAATGGTGAAGAGAAAGTAAATAAGAATGTATTATGTACTCTCTCTCTCACAATACAAGAACCAGGGGTCACAAAATAAAACTAGTAGGTAGTCAGTTTAAAACTAACAAAAGGAAGTTTTTTCACACAGCGTGTAATTAAAGTGTGGAACTCATTGCCACATGATGTTGTGGACACTGACAGTTTAGCCAGTTTCAAAAAGGGATTAGACAAATTCTTGGAGGAAAGGGCCGCTGGTAGCTATTGAGCATGGTAGTTAGGGGTACAGCCCCTGAATCAAGTACTGAAGATCAGGGAACTTCAAATCCCTTCTTCCAGGTCTGGTGGCAACTAAATAAAAGGTCCCATAGTGCTTTGCAGAGAGAGTTGAAGTTTATCCCTGAAGTTCTGACTACCTGGTAATAATATCTCAGCAGCAAGTGAACAATTATTGGACAAATAGGCTCAGATTTTTGAAGCTGTCTCAGAGATTTGGGCTCCTTATTTTCATTAAAACAATTGGGAATTGGGCATCTACATGCCATAAATTGCTTTGAAAACCTGAGCCACAAAGATGGTGGCTTGCTGCAATGAACCCCAGCTGGGCAAAAGTCTGATTTTGGTTTCAGCAGAGTCTGTACTGAAGTCCATGGATTTCTTCTGGAGCTACACCAATGTAACTAAGATCAAAACTTAAGCACCAGTGTGGAAGTAGTGACTTTGTAAAGTTCTCTGAGCCTGTGTCAATAAGAAGGGAACAATATGTAATAAAATGCCCCAGTAGTAGAGTGTAAAAGGAGCACTCACCCAATAGGAGTGTGTACAGTGCAGCTCTGTCGAGGGCTGACCAGTTAAATGACCCTCCCCCCCTCCCAGATATTTTCCCTATATATCTTGCTGATTGGTTTCCTGCCACTTATTGATTGTCTGAGCTTGTTATTTTTTCTTTCAGGACTGACATGACTGGTCAACCTGAGTCTGATAAAATCTAGGGCAGATCCTGGTAAGTATTTCCTGTTGACCTGTTTGACCTTAGCTTACAAAACAGTCCTATGGATTGGAACTAGAACTAAAATAATGGTTCCTCCTTTCTGCATCAGTATCATTTGGACTTATATACTTGCTCTTACCAGGCACCTCTATCAGCATTCCTTCCTGGGGGCTAGCCTCTAAAACAGGCCATAGGTATCCCCAGATCTCTTCTCTAGGGGTGTAGGAATAACAGTAACCTCATCTGAACCACCTGCACAAGGCAGTGAGGGACCAAAAATGATGGTACTGGAGTAAACCCATTGACCTGAACTTTACACAAAGTAGGTCATCATATCTGATCTTGGGAATTGAGGCCTGCCCCAGTTCACAGTGAAGCCTATTGATGAGTCAGAATCAAGTTTATTTGCTACTTCACAGAGTATCATTTTTAACAGAGCCATCTAGCTATTCTGGAGCTGTGGGGTGGGATTTACGGTGACTGGGTGCAGCTTGAGTCAAGCAGCACTATTTCCTGCATCCCCATCTGACCCTCAGCATTTTCATACAGACCATAGTAGCGCATAACTAATGGAGATAGACCAGGGAGCCACGTGGCCCCACCTTTTTGTCTGATGGAAGCCACTCCTACTGTATCAAACTCATAAGCCATACATACTGTGGCCAGCAGCTGTTAGTCAGACTAAGGGACAAGGTTTCCTATGCAGATGCTCGCAGGGATTATAGCTTCATCTATGATCCAGAATCTTCAAGAGGTTTCTTAGATGGAGAGGATGCCTTAGTTGTGGGGAGATTATTACTGGGTGTGTCTGTCTACACATGCATATTTACTGCACAGTACTTTAGGTTACTACACACTAACAGAAAATTACTGCACAGTACAGGTGTCTACACGTGCATGCCTGTACAGCACAGTAACTATGGCAACTTACGCCAACTTGGGCATAAATTTGATACCTGCATCAGGCAGGTATTGAAGTTACACCCAATTAGTTACTACACAGTAATACACGTGTAGACGCCTTACTGCACAGTAAGTACATTTTTGGATTTGCAGGAGAAAATGTTTTGTAAAAAAATTATTTTGAAGTTATTTTGTGAAAACATTTCCATTTTTCAACCTGGTTTGGCCAGCACCAATGCTATTTCCATTCTTCTAGCTAAGTGGTGTTGGAGGAGATATTTCCATTTTTGCCTCCTTCTAGTTAGTTACCTGCTGGTGGGACTGACTCACTTTTGCTTGTTTCTCCAACAGCTCCTGTTTCCCCTGTGTGTGGTGGCAGCTTGCAGAAGTAGTAACATCGTAGCCTTCCCGGAGGAGACCCGAAGTAGCATGCAGAGTGGCTGGGGGGTGTCCTTAAGCATGGCAGGGTGGGAGGGGGTGCTGCACATTGTACATTGTAGTGACCATTGATTTGATTTGATTTGATTTTTTTAAGGCTCAAAACTTTTCACTTGGTCTCCCTAGTGAAACCAGGTCAAATACATTTGCTGTTTCTTGAGAATGAACTTCCCATCATGTTTGCAGAGCTGCAGGCTTAACCTGATTTGAAATTCATCCATGGCTGGCAGACTGCAACAAGCCCCTTTCCTGTTCCTCAGAGTGGTCTTAGCTTCCCATGGGACCCCTGTGCCTGGTATACAGTGGCCAGCACTGGGAAGACGAGCAACCTCTACAGGCAGAAGAAGTGACAGACTCAAGAAACACTCAAACTATTTGGCCTGGTCGGTTCCCTTTTATATTTTGGGGTGAAAAACCTATCACAAATCCCTTTGCTTTGAGTTGTCCTATGACTATGAAAGCTCTGCCTGTGCCATTTCTGCCTCCACAGGAATACATGGTGCCAGCTGAGGGACTCTTTAGCTAGCAAACAGCAGTGTCTTTTCTCTCTCCTTTTTTTTTGTACATGCTGCATTGGGCCCTGTTATTTACCCAGCAGACAGAGAACCACAGACTGTCTCCATACTCTAAGACTTGTGCTTCTAATTGTGAGATACTGGGGCTCAGATTTAGTTCTTTCTTACACTGGTGTAAATCCCAGGCAACTCCACTGCAGTGAATGGAGTCATGCTGGGTTTATACCCCTGTAGGCAAGATCAGAATCCAGTCCTGATGCATTACAATCATCACACACTCAGATGTGCCACTGCTGGGCAGCCTTTGCTGTTGGAATTTATGGCGGACTTTGTCTCACATTGATCCCGGTGCTGTGCTCAAGTTCAGCGTTCTGATGAGCTCCTATCACTTGGGTAGGGACAGGCACTTTGGTACACAGAGTCAGGCTGTGGGTTACTCCAAGAACTTGAACCATTTCAAAGATGCTTAACTTTCCAGCAGCAAAGACAGCCTGATTTTGTATCTCTTACTCCCCTGACTCGCCCTACAGAAGTCAGTGTAGTTCTTCACAGGGGGGAGGACTGAAGGATCTGGCACTAAGCCTATATTGCCAAGCAACAGTTGCATATAGCAGGTGTTGCTGGTAGCTCAATAACTGTAACCATCCCAGGAATACAATAGCTGCCTGCACAGCCCAGGTTCTCTTACTGGTGTGTCACAATGGGATAAGTAGGTGTTCATAAGAAACCAGCTAGTCTGACATGGGTGTATCACTGTCAGATGATCTGAGGATCCAGCTGGGTCCAAAAGCCAAAGCCATTTCCTATTGCCTTAATAGAGTGTTTTAATTTAGAATAGAAACCAGTGGGTAGATGTGTTCTGAGCATATAGCTGTGTATCTTTATTTAGCACTCCAGTCTCATTTGAACAACCTTTCAAAGCCACTCCCTTTATGGCAGCGGTTTTATGGCTGGCCCAGAGTTCTGCCTGTTGCAGTAAATTAGACTGGGTTGTGTAGGAGGCCTGAGGAAGCCAGAGGGCAGGAAAAGGAAGAGTAATACCCAGTGGGAGAGATGTGGTTACCACTAACCACTCCAGGTGCTCATTAAAACAGTCCACCTGCAGTTTCAGTCCCAAGCTGCAATGTAAAACCCAGACCCCAGGAGGCAAAGTCATTCCCCAACCTAGTGCTGTTCAGAGGCAGCTGTAGAGGCTGGGTTCCTTAGTCCAGTTCAGTGAGCAACAGAGGGGCATCTGGGCTGGGCTTCAGATGTTAGTGGCATGTGGAAAATTTTTCAACAAGTCAAATACATTCCTGTTGCTTTACGAGGGATCATTTCCCTGAAATCGCAATATGCAGAAATGTTGCCCATTGGAATGTTTATTATTTAACTGCTTGAATGGACACACACATACTCCCCTGAGACCCGAACTGGCAGGGACTCTGGGCTTCTGGGAATGCAGTAGGGAGGAATTTAACTCCCATTATATTTTGTCCTTCAATCACTCTGCCTTAGAGTCCACTAACCTCCTCCAGGCCCAGGCAGTACAAAAGTAACTCTCAGCAGTTCCCTGTTCACAACCGGAGGGAGATTCAGGGCTCTGGGGATGGAAGAAAACTAAAGTAGCTAAATGCAAAGACTTCCTCACACCTTCATCTAGAACAGACACATGTGGGGAAAGGCACTAAAGCTATGCACAATGGGATGTCAGTGGAAATCAGACTGCAGTAACCCTCAGCAAGATGGGCACTGTTCAGCCTGTAAGAACCGGAGTAAAGTAGTCCTGCTTGACCTGTTGGGAAATCCTTCTGGCAACAGCCATTTCTCCGAGAGGTGACACATAGCACAGGCCCACTGAAAGGACAGTCTGCCACAGAAACAAGAGAGCATGCAATCCTGGGTGTCTTGATCAGAGACTCAAGGTAAATGATAATGACAGTGAGTGGCTACAGGATTCAGGATACATTGTGCTAGGTGCTGTACATGCATGTGAGACTTGAGTACTGGATAAGACCAGGAGCTAGCTCCTTATAGAGATAGCCCCAAAATCCTGTCCCAGCAGACATTGGGCTTAGTGGGTTTTCTAATGAAGCAGGCTCTCTCATTGTTTTTTCCATAGTAAATGGTGTTGTGCCTTTGGTATCACACTTTGGCCCCATCAAGGGTAAATATCCCCAGGATAAAGCAATTTCATGCCATTGAATCCAGTGTGGCAGCCTTTCCATGTAGGAGGGAGACACATTTTGTACTAGAAGCATGTGAGGATGTCTCCAGGTTAGAAGCGAGATGCATGTTAGAAGCGCTTTGCAGCAGTAGCCTTGGCTTCATAGAGAACTAGAGATGCTGCAGTATCCAGCAACATAGGTTAGATAGAAAATAATGTTCCTGTTCATGGCAGGGAGGGAGCTCAGAGGAGTAGTTGTAATGGCAGTAGAGCAGATGTTGGGGTGGGTGGATGGGGTTAAAAGGCACAGGTGCAGGCCACAGAGGCAATGTTTAAACTGCATTTGGGAGGTGCAACTGGAGCATGTTCCAACAGGAGAGAAACTGCAGCTGCACAGGCTGTTGCTTGGGCCCTCTGTGCTGCCCCAGCTTCACCGTGATGGTTACCCACACTGGCTAGCATGAGCCTAGTGTAGGTTTGTCTGTGTATCCGGCAGCTGTATCTCTGGGTACAGTATAACTATTGTTAGAAGAAGGGAGGAAAATCCCAGCTATGGGAATTTAAGTGATCCAGGAGACCCTGGACTATAAAAAGCTGATCAGAATAGACTTGAGGATATCAGGAGAAACTCTGCCAAGCCAATGATATACCTGCATTTGTATTTATGTGTATGTACATACGGAAGAGTCACTATGGTCTTTGTTACTGATCAGAGTAAAATCATTAAAAACTGAGCTCTTACTGCTTCTGACTCTCTGTATTCAGTAATGGTGCTTGAGTGCTCTCTGCCCATTTCTTTACTTCTGCTTCTGTGAACTGAACCTTTCTCTAATTTCCCTTACTGTAAATTCAGACCAGCTTCACTGAAGTCAATGGAGTTACTCCAGACCTGATGTGAATGGGAGCAGACTGTGAACCAAGCCTTCAGCTGTTGGAAACAGCACAGTATAGCACTCTGCTGAATATCACCAGTTGAATGCTTTTAAATGCATCATTGGAGAGATACGATTTCAAATCTAAGGAGCTTTGCAAGTTTACAGGAGATGCTGGTACATGGGATAATGAGATCCGGGCTCTGGGGGAGTTCTCATAAGGGAGCTGCTTTCAAAATAAATCAGAAAGGAATCACCATTTCAGCGACTCTTCATGTCAACATAAATATTTAAAGAGACAACTAAGGCACTGATCAGAATAACCCTGCTTTTCTGCTCTTCAGAGCTAAAGGAAAAGGCTGCCTGTGTACAATGTTCCAGCTTTCATTTTCATTTTCAAAGCCCTCCTACAGGTGGAGAAAGACTTGAAAACATAACCTCATCTCCTCCCTCCTCCCCCCACCCCGGCTCAGAAAATAAAGAAAATAATCTAAATTATTTTGGTTTTTAGAAGACCATACTTGTTTAAGCCAGTCCTATAAGTTGAGGAGGTCTGGCCCATGAGTTTGGAATAGCTGGGAATGTCAGCATAGTTTAAGTCTCCAAAATCTGGCCCTAAGTGACTTATCAATCGGGAAAATAATGTCATATCATTAACATTAGTTATCTATGACAGTAGTCAATAAGCATCCAGATATGGACCAGAGGCCTAGCCTTCCAGGCACTGTATAAAACATAGCCCATGCCTGAAAGAACTGTTGACCTTTGCAGATAAGCTCTGATCACTCAGTGGAGCAGAGCTATATGTAACATTGAGGGTTTCCAAAGCTGCATGAACCCTGCTGTTTTTCTTAAGCCATTTATGGCCATAGCAAGAATACAAAGCATGCTCTCACAAGTCTGTGCTACAGGCCAGTTGGCATTTCCTGGTGCTGTAAGCAGAGAGCCTTGATGCATTTGTATGAGCTTTTTAATAATGGATTCAAGACTTCTAAACATTTTTTTTCATTGTTAAGAGGTGCAGTTAAGGAAAAGCACTCCACTGCTCTCCATAACTCCCTGGGGATGGAGTCTGTGGTGGTTACTAACCTTTCTGGTGGGTACCTGCCACTCTGAGATGTTTGATTTACTTTCCATATACATCTTCCTATATTCTGGGAAAAGGCATTTAACCAAGGACGACAAGGAAGAAACTTCATTAGAAAGGGACTTCTGCTTTATGAAACAAGTTTAACCGTAAGCCTTAAAACCATAGGAGTAATCCCAGACAAGCCTAACCTGCATTTAAAATGTCCGGTGACAGAGTTTCTACAGTCCCCTTAGGTGAACTGTTCCAGTGCTTATCCACCCTCACAGTTAGAAAGTTCCTCCCAATATCTAACTGAAATCCTCCTTGTTGCAGTATAAGCTCATTTCTTCTTTTTCTGTCCTCAGTGGAAAGTACCTGAGTGCACAGCACAAAATCTGCCCCAGATACATCCATTATAATCTTAGTTCTCCATAAATGACTGTTATTCCTGGTCACTCCTGGCTGTGCTCGGGGGAACAGTGACTCCCCCAATGCCTGCTGGTCCCCCCTGACTAGTTTATAACAGGCCACAAGATCCCCCCTCAGCCTTCTCTTTTGGACGCTGTTTCCCCTAGCGCCCGCTGGCATAACAAGGAGTAATGGGCACAAGTTGATGGAGAGGAGGTATAGATTGGACATCCGCAAAAACTACTTCACAGTTAGGGCGGCTAGGAGCTGGAACCAACTTCCAAGGGAAGTGGTGCTGGCCCCTACCCTGGGGGTCTTTAAGAAGAGGCTGGATGCCTACCTGGCTGGACTCATTTGAGTCCCGTTTCTCTTTTTGGGGTTTTTTGTTGTTCTCCCGCCCTGGCTGGGGGTCGGGCTAGAAGATCTACTAGGTCCCTTCCGACCCTTAATCTATGAATCTATGAATCTATGAAATCCCAGAGGTGAAGATATTTTTATTGGTGCTTTAACACACCCTCACTGCAGATGTCTCCTGGTCTCCAAATGTTATCTCATCCTAGTGATTCTCATCTGGAGGAAATAAGGCAGCATGGCACAGAGCCTCTGAAACACCACAAAAGGATGCTGAAAAGATCCAGATAAAAGTAGGTGGGGAACTTTTTGTAATAAACCTGCCATGTAGTGACTCTGCTGTAAACCTATGAACAAGAGCGTTTTCCCAAAGGAGGTATGTGTGCTGCTGGGGAAACATGGGTGGCACAAATATATGATGAAGACACAAGAGGACAAAATTTTTCTTGCACAGCTCACTGCAGCCCTTTCACGACAGTGAACTCAGGTGGAGCAGAACATGCCCCCCCCCATGGCTCACCAAAAGCATCCGGGAATGTCTTCTAGCTAAAAGGGAGGCGCACATCCAATGGCAGGGCGCGGCCCTCACCACCGACTATGATACTGCAGTCGCCCAGCGCTGCAGGGGGGCAGTCAGCAAGACCAAGGCGGAGATGGAACTGGGACTAGCTACCCAGATCAAGGACAACAAGAAGTCCTTTTTTAAATACATAGGGGGCAAAAAGAAGGTACCGGGTAACGTGGGGCCCCTACAAGACACACTAGGAAATTTGGTTGTCACACCAGATGACAAAGCTAACCTATTTAACGACTTCTTTGCCTCCATTTTCCTGAGCAGGGACCTGATCAGCCCCCCAGCACCGGGCCCCCCTCAGGCCCCAGGGGAGGCACACCTAGGCCAAGGGTCAGTGAGGATCTAGTCAGGGAACTTCTGGAGGGACTGGACATATTCAAATCAGCTGGTCCGGACAATCTCCACCACCGAGTGCTGAGGGAATTAGCTGAGGTCATTGCGGGAGCCCTGGCACGGCTGTACAAGCACTTGTGGTGCACTGGTGTGGTGCCAGAGGACTGGGAAAGGGCCAACGTGGTTCCTATATTCAAAAAAGGGAGGAAGGAGGACCCAGGAAACTATAGGCCAGTTAGTCTTACCTCGATCCTGGGGAAGCTTTTTGAGAGAATTATCCTGGCGCATGTCCACAAGGGGCCAGCAGGGGAGATTATACTTAGGGGCAACCAACACGGGTTCATTAGAGGCAGGTCCAGTCAGACCAACCTGGTGGCCTTCTATGACCAGGTCAC